ATATTATTAATAATATTACAATATAATCGTATAGTACAATGTAGTAATATATATAAGCCGCTCTGAGTCACCTTCGGGGTGAGAAAGGTGACAGATAAATATTGTAAATAAATAAATAAATAAATAAATAAAGTTGGGTTGTTGTGAGCTTTCCGGGCCATGTTCCGGAAGCATTCTCCCCTGATATTTCGCCCACATTTATGGCAGGCATCCTCAGAGGTTGTGACGTCTGTTGCAAACTGGGCAAGTGAGGTTTATATATCTGTGGAATGTCCAGGGTGGGAGAAAACATTCTTGTCTTTTTGAGGAAAGTGTGAATGTTGCAATTGGCCAGAATGATCAGCATCTAATGGCCTTGCAGCTTCAAAGCCTGTCTGGGTGCTGTCTGGGGGATCCTTTCTTGGGAGCCCAGAAAACTCACAACAACCCAATGATTCCAGCCACGAAAGCCTTCAACAACATATGGGTATAATATTGATGCACTTCCCATTAAGGAAATGCATGGGCTTTTGTACTGCTATAGCTCTTTACCCAATTGTTGATGGACAAGAGTCAATTCTGACTTCACATATATAGATCAATTGCAATGTTATTAAATTAAATTAATAATATTTTAATGGATAATTAATTGAAATGTATATATACTAAGGCTTGTCAGATTTTTTTTGAACTCCAGTCTCCCTCAGTCCTAGGCAGTAATGTAGCATGATGGGAGCACTATTTCACCAACATTTGTATTTATTTATATGCCCCTCGTTTCTTCCAGACTGGGTTCAAGGTGGTCAGAAAATCAGTACATTGATTTATTGCTGTGAAAAAAATCGTGCCTTGGGCTGTTTTACTGAGGTAAGAATTGCGTAATCTAGTAACACAGTTCTTCAGTCTTGAGAAAGAACTCCAGGAATAATCCTAATTCATTTTAATAAGGATACATTGCAGAGGAAAGAGAAAGACAGATTTGGGCAGAGAATGATTTAGTGTGTGAGCTTATTGCTAAGAGGTTTTCACATGTGAGGTTTATAGCACACAATGAATTCATTCTAGCACTGTTTATCTTAGCTAGAATGGGCATTCTATTCCTTTGCTACACTAATAAATTTTATAGATGGAGGCAGGGAATTATGAAAGCAAACCGCCTTGATATCCTGGACATTCAGGCATTTATGCAGAGCCATTACCTTACATTTAATTCCTTTGTCCTCATGATTTTAAAGGATCAGTGCATATACTGCTAGCTGCAGGAAAGTTGCTGGCTGGAAGGTTGGCAGTTCTCAACTGTCAGTCCTAGCTCCTGCCAATCTGCAGTTCAAAAGCATGCAATGAGAGTAGAACAAGAGGTACCGCCTTGGCGGGAAGGTAAAAGGACATGCAGACATGTCTGTAACACAATCACAGATTTCCACCATGTCTCCTGGGTCATCGACTCGGAGCCCCTCCCTTCAACAACAATACTACATCTGCCTGCCACCTCAGGAGGAGAAGGAGGAAATCCTGCTGCTTCTCCCCCGCCCCAAGCCAGCTAAGAGGAGGAAGGGGACTGAGGAAAAGACTTTAAAAACACCTGTCTCCTGGCTGTTGCTTACTACATCTGCCTGCCACCTCAGGAGGAGAAGGAGGAAATCCTGCTGCTACTCTCTCTCCCCCCCCCAAGCCTGCTAAGAGGAAGAAGGGGACTGAGAAAGAGACTTTAAAAACACCTATCTCCTGGCTGTTGCTTACTACATCTGCCTGCCACCTCAGGAGGAGAAGGAGGAAATCCTGCTGCTACTCTCCTCCCCCCCCAAGCCAGCTAAGAGGAGGAAGGGGACTGAGGAAGAGACTTTAAAAACACCTGTCTCCTGGCTGTTGCTTACTACATCTGCCTGCCACCTCAGGAGGAGAAGGAGGAAATCCTGCTGCTACTCTCCCCTCCCCCAAGCCAGCTAAGAGGAAGAAGGGGACTGAGAAAGAGACTTTAAAAACACCTGTCTCCTGGCTGTTGCTTACTACATCTGCCTGCCACCTCAGGAGGAGAAGGAGGAAATCCTGCTGCTACTCTCTCTCTCCCCCAAGCCTGCTAAGAGGAAGAAGGGGTCTGAGAAAGAGACTTTAAAAACACCTATCTCCTGGCTGTTGCTTACTACATCTGCCTGCCACCTCAGGAGGAGAAGGAGGAAATCCTGCTGCTACTCTCTCTCCCCCCCCAAGCCAGTTAAGAGGAGGAAGGAGACTGAGGAAGAGACTTTAAAAACACCTATCTCCTGGCTGTTGCTTACTACAGCTGCCTGCCACCTCAGGAGGAGAAGGACGAAATCCTGTAAACTGCCTTCAGTCGCTGAAAGGCTGAGAAAGGCGATATACAAATACAGTAAATAAATAAATAAATAAGACTTACTTTCCTCTACAGAGTAACCTAATCATTTCCTTGAATTTTTTCATCTGCAAAGTTCAGATAATAATCCTTATTTCACAAGAGCAATTAATGTGTCAAGAGTGCTTTGAAGATTAAAAATGTTAAGCTCTATTGTTGTCCAAGCCCTTCTAAATTTACTCAGTGAAGCTGTTAATTTTTCTCAGCAGTACAAGGTGATTTCCTCTGTTGTGTTATTCTATTTTTATTTTTATTGTCTTGTAACCTACCCAGCATTTTTCTTTCTAGCTTGAATTCTTACGCTTGCTAGTATTTCCTCCAATGAACAAGTATTTCCTTCAGTTCGGCTAGCTTCACCCAAGGCTGCTTTAATATAGAAAAAGAAACTGCACATTATTTGGAAATTGTTGTTGTTGTGTGCCTTCAAGTCCTTTTCATGGGTGCGAGGGGAACAGAAACTTGGTTTCAAGAGTCGTGGCCCAATGCTCAAACCCTTACACCATGATGGCTCTCTGTGACTGTGCTGGCCTGTGCAAAGAGATTTGATTTGAAATTAATTTCAGAAGATGTTGAATGTATAAAACATTCCTAGATTTTAATATAAAGCTATAAAACAGGGAAATTCATATACTGCGGAGCAATACTTCCATTTTCAGGGCTGATTGTTGAATTATTATTATCAGCCAGTGTGGTAGAAGGTTTCTGATGGATTTTCTGACCGACAGTTCAATAACTCAGGAAGCAATATGAAACACACTCATCATATGCGTGCAGTAGTTGCATAAGGAGTTGGTCACAGAAGATTTAATGGAGCATAACTTTACATTCCTGGTGGCAGAATCTTATCTAACTGTCTTCCCGCCCACCCATTGTTCCTGAGCTACAATTAGGCATTTGGGAAATGGCAGTGACTGATTCATCCAGATTTATCATAATGGACAGATATTACTGCTTTTTTAAACTTTCCTAATATAAAACAAAAACTTGTCTCTTTATTGTACAGTGAGGAAATGTTAAAGTTATTAATGTCTGCCATTAGCCTGCAATCGTCAGAATATTATTAGCACTATGATTACCATAACTGCCAAGCATGCATTGATCTCGGGGACTACATCAGAACCAAACTGGATATTTTAAGTTAGTTTTTTTTCTTTTTTTAAAGAGGGACTGTGGTACCGCAGCGGGTTAAGCTACTAGCTGCAGGATATCTATCGACTGGAGGGTTGGCAGTTCAATGCCATGAGTCAGGATGAGCTCTCGACTGTCAGCTCTGGCTTCTGCCAACCTAGAAGTTCGAAAGCATGAAATGCGTTTGGAGCTTCAGCGTGACCAGATAAACACAAAATTGTAATGTGAACACAGAACAGCTAAGACAATGTAAACAGATGAGGAATTGGACTGTAGGACATTGGACTTCTATAGTTTTTTAGTTTTTTTAGTGTTTATGGTTTTTATATGTATTTATGATGTGATTTAATTGTTTAAACTGATATACGTATACTTATAAGGCATCTAAATGTTGCCGGTCTGTATGCCGCCCTGAGTCGCCTTCAGGCTGAAATGGGTGGGATAAAAATGATGTAAATAAATGAATGCAAGTAGATCAATAGGTACCGAATCAGCAGCGAGTTAAAAGGGTGCACTGTGTAGATATGAAAAACATGCCAGCAACATGATCAGAGATGTCTATGATAACAGGCTCCTTGGCATGGAAAAATGGAACAAGAGCACCTCCCCATGGCCGGAGATGAGCCTTGCCTCATAGACGCCAGAGATGACAAAGGGGGAAGACCTTTACCATACCTGTGTATTGTATGTCATTGTGTAAAAGGCATTGTATATTTGCCGTATATGTGTTTCTGTAATCTGCTCTGAGTCCCTCCAGGGAGATAAAGCAGAATATAAATAAAGTATATTATTTATTTATTTTTCAAAATGCTGGCTTCTCTTTGCTTATCTTTTAATGCAAGTCACAGATAACTTACTCTTAATGTCTGTTGCAATGAGAGACCAGTGGTAGACATAACATAACAATATGTTTTGAATTTTGGGAAGAGTTTGCAAAGTTGGGGGTTCAATATAAAGATTACTATTGATCCCGTTCTATCCCAGGCTCAGCCTTCCATGGAAACATTTTAACACAAAGTACTAACTGGTTTCAATTTCAAGTCCCCATGGCTTGGTACCAATTCCAAAACCATATCTTTCTCTTACATTGAAACTGGTTTCATTTTAACATAATATGAGCCAGAAAGGAAATTCTAAAACCTTGAGGTGGTAAAGAAGCATGTACACAGGTATTATGATGTGTGAAGCACTGCTGCAGGATTGTAGCCATGTCTATGAAGTCTTGCATTCATTCTCAGTTGCCAAAAAGCAGAGTTACATTCAGAATTGTTTAAATGATATTCTTTAACATGGACCAACAACGATTCTCTGTGCATCTTTGGCTATGAAGAAAATAAATGAGACAAGCGAGTTTTTTTTACAGAAGGCAAGAAATACAAGCATCATCCTCTAGTCATGGCTGGAACTAAAACACAGAAAAGTGGACAGAAAAGTGGAACACAGAAAAGTGTGCCATACAGTGAGTGCGGCCTTAGACATTTCTTAGGTGCATAATGTGCATTCCTTTGGAAACATGACTTACCGTACCACTCATCCACCCACGCAAAAGCCTGTCGGTGACCAATCAGCAGTATATCTCTGACTACCTGTAACAAGGATAAAGATTTCACTGAGACAAGAGTAATAAGAGCAGCTAAGAGCTATACATATGCACTCAACTTGAACTTCAAAGACTCTACAGCACCACACCGATAAGGCTTCTTGGGCGATGCTGTACAAGTATGGTAGAAGAAAATCCATTCACCAGGATTCGTGGACTTAATGTGGTCCTGATGGTGAGGTGAAGAGACACCTTACCGGGAAGGTGTAAGTGAAGGGTGGAGCAAGCTGCAGGCGTTCGGGGTGCCCGGGGTATGGAAAAAAGAGTAGAGTGGCTCTGGGCCCAGAAAAACACAACTCTCTTACCTGTCTGGCCTGCCCTTGTATCCTATTACCACCTCCTCCTCTGCCTCTCAGATCTCACTCCTGAAGACTGCAGTGAAGTGGTGCAGGTGCGCATGTGTGAGATCTGAGAGGCAGAGAAGGAGGTACAGTAATAGGAAAATTACCATATTGAAATCAAATCTGATGCTTTTTAAATTTTTATTTGGTGTATGTTGGAAGAGGGGTAGTCTTATACCGCGAGTATATCCCAAACTCTATATTTTAACTGGAAAAGTTGGGGGTCGTCTTATACGCTCAGTTGTCTTATACGCCCAGTCGTCTTATATTCCGGAATATAGTACTTTAAAACAGCATCAACTGCCCCATCTGGCATAAATCTGACCACACAAAGCAGGTGAATATAGCACTGAATGAGACATATAGAATAATCACAGAATTTCTTAAACCTACACTTGCTGGTAGACTTTATAAGCTAGCTGGCATTGCCTCCCTCCCACTGATGTGCGACAGGAAGTTGCTGTCAATTGTGAGAGAAATAAGACTGAATACTATGAAAGCCATCCACTATATGGCTACCAGCCTCCTCCCAGTAGACTTAAATCAAGGAAAAGTTGCATGAGAACTACCACTCCTCTTAATGTTCCCCAGCAACAGCAGGAATATCCCTCTGTACAATTCCAACTGGATGCCCGCCCCCCCCCCCAATGAGGGTCTTCCTCCAGGGGGAAACCAAGAATGGACAACTTGGAAGTCCTTGCACAGACTCAGAAGTGGAGTGGGCAGATCAAAAGACAACCTGGCAAAATGGCACTACCTAGAAGGATCCTCCACCTTGTGTGACTGTGGAGCAAAATAAACAACTCCGCATCTGTATGCTTGCCCACAATGCCTTGCCTCGTGCACAGAGGAAGAACTGTTTAAAGCTACAGACAATGTGGTTGCTGTTGCCTGTTTTTGGTCAAAAACTATTTCTCTGCTTGCACTTCCTTTATTTTACCATTTTTATACTTATTTGTTTATGCAATGCTTTTGACACAACATAAATAAAACTGCAGAAACGGATAGTGAGGAATATCTAGATTTTGGGGCTACTAAATTCATATGGCTTTTCTAACACTGAATGTGTTCATTTCATGTATGAAAAGTCAATGTTCTTCAAAAGATTGAAAGCCAGGATATAAAAATATCAAAGGTAGATACACTAGTACATAGACTAGCACAGGCTCAAAGATTCATTGTGGTAATTGGCAATGAAATAGGACTAGCAGCTAGTGAGTATTGTTGTTGTTCATTCGTTCAGTTGTGTCCGACTCTTCGTGACTTCGTGAGTATTCTTAACTGCCATCAAGTCAACTTCACCTTATGCCAAAAGCTCTGCTCAAGTCTTATAGACTCACAGCTGTGACTTCCTCAATTGAGTCCCTCCAACTGTAACACAGTTTTCCTACTGTCTTTTACCTTGTAGTGCAGTGGTTCTCAACCTGTGGGTCCCCAGGTGTTTTGGCCTACAACTCCCAGAAATCCCAGCCAGTTTACCAGCTGTTAGGATTTCTGGGAGTTGAAGGCCCAAACATCTGGAGACCCACAGGTTGAGAACCACTGTTCTAGTGAGTCATGTCTTCTAATGATATGTCCAAAGTACAACAGCCTCAGTTTAGTCATCTTGGCTTCTATGGAGCTTTAAGTCGGGACGTGCTCTAGAACTCATATTATCTTCAGAACGCTTCTCTAGCACCACATCTCAAATGAGTTTATTTTCTTCCTATCAGCTTTTTTCATTGTCTAGCATTCACAACCATGCACAGGAATTGGAATAACAATGGGATGAAGAGTCCTGACTTTGACATTCAATTATTCTACTCTAATAGTGGCCTCTTGACCAGTGAACAGGTTGCACATTATGTGAATTAAATGTTTTTGTGTAGCCATTTATTTAAATGCAATCTATAGATCTACACAATCAAAAGCTTTCCTGCCCCCCCCCCTGTAATTCTTTGATGTACGCTATTGTTCAACATCTACTGTATTTGTAAATATCGTGTCCCATGACTCAGGATGAAATATACCCTGAACCATGAAGCTCGGTGGGATGGTCAATATCTCTTAACATTATTAAAATCAGTCAGGATAAAATGTGGAGATAGAAAGCTAGTATCCTTACATTACAATATGGCCCCTTCTACACAGATGAATAAAATCCAGATTATCTGCTCTGAACTAGATTATATGGCAGTGTAGACTCAGATAATCCAGTTCAAAGCACATAATGTGGATTATCTGCTTTGATATTGTAGATTATATGCCGGTGTGGAAGGATCCCATGTAACACAATTTTTGTTCCTGGGTTATAAGTTAATTTCTTAATTGTTTCTATCATAAAACATGGAAAAAGTCTATTAAACTGCAAAAAACTTTGTTTTTGCAGGACATCCTGAAGCATATTTTGCTATAGTTTTTTTCAATGAATATCTCGAGTGTCAATCAATTCAACCTAGTTTGTGGCAGCCACAAAAACAAAGTTTTTGGAGATTAAAAACTACTTTTAAAGAAAGTACGACACAATTAAACAAGAAATAACACTTTCAAACCAGGAGCAGAATAAAAATAAAATCTTGTTCCACAGTATTATGAAAAACAAATTAAAGATATCCTCATCCTGTCCTTTTCTGGAAACTAACTGCCTTAGTTACTGTCATGAGATGACTCCTAAAAATGTGGTTATGACTAGAGGTGATTTTTTTCCTAATGAATCATATATGAAAACTTTGTCCCAGCTGACTTTTCTAGCTCTTGTGTACTAGTTGTGTTTTATTCAAGAGAGAAACAACCTACACAGAAACAAAGTATGTGCAGTTTAGCCAAGGCCTACATTTAGCCAAATCAGGTGGCTATTGGTTAGGGCAGTAGTAAAAACCCTTTTATAAAGTGCACATTTTTACTTAAAAATTCTTGCTGATGATTTATTTATATTTTATTTTTAAATAGTTTTACATCTAGTCTAGACTAGAGGCACTTTCTGAGATGCAGGGCCAGATTTTTTAGAATAAATAATTCTGGCATAGTTCAAGGGAAGTCAATTCCAAGTTGAGCCAACAATGTCATGCAGCAGCTAAAAAAGCCAATGGGATTTTGGCCTGCATTAATAGGAGTCTAGTGTCTAGATCCAGGGAAGGCATGCTACCTCTCTGTTCTGCCTTGGTTAGACCACACCTGGAATCACACCATGTCCAATTCTGGGCACTGCAATTAAAGGGAGATATTGACAAGCTGGAATGTGTCCAGAGGAGGACGACTAAAATGATCAAGGGTCTGGAGAACAAGCCCTATGAGGAGCAGCTTAAAGAGCTGGGCATGTTTAGCCTGAAGAAGAGAAGGCTGAGAGGAGACATGATGAGGGCCATGTATAAATATGTGGAAGTCATAGGGAGGAGGGAGCAAGCTTGTTTTCTGCTGCCCTGGAGACTAGGACATGGAACAATGGCTTCAAACTACAGGAAAGGAGATTCCACCTGAACATTACAAAGAAATTCTAAACTGGGAGTGCTGTTCAGCAGTGGAACTCTCTGCCCCAGAGTGTGGTGGAGGCTCCTTCTTTGGAAGCTTTTAAACAGAGGCTGGATGGCCATCTGTCAGGGGTGCTTTGAATGCAATTATTCCTGCTTCTTGGCAGGGTGTTGGACTGGATGGCCCATGAGGTCTCTTCCAACTCTATGATTCTATAAGTTCTCTGAAAAGTGGGAGAACTTGAATCACATTTATATCTTATTTTATCTGGACCCTTTGAGCATGCACCAGGAGAAGGAAGTATGTTTGCCATGAAAATGAGCAACATTTACACTCTAATACTCATCAGAGAGATTCCTCATCACATAGTATACTCCATAGCATATTTTTTCTCTCCCAGTTCCTCTTTTGCCTGTTCAGACCTTGAACCTAAGATAAGCATAAATGTGCAGACTTTTCAGCACATAAATTATAACCAGACCTTTGGGTGAGCAAGTAAAATATATCTCATGCAGAAAGACATTGAAAAGAAGAATGCAGGACAGTTACATTCTTGTTGTGTAAGTTTCTGCCTAGATAGCTTGGTAGATAGTGATGGGGAGGAATCAGTCAGTGATCATGTCATGTATTTATTATTTATTTATTTACTTTGCTTATATACCGCTGTATCTCAAGCCCGAAGGCGACTCACAGCGGTTCACAAACAGTAAAAACAGTAGAAACAGCAGTGGTTCCATGCAACATATAACAATTGACTTAACACATTATCCATAAATTACCAATAAGCAATTACAATGCACAATTATTACGAAAAACAACCGTACCCAATCTTCTCATCATCCAAGCGTAGTCCAGGTTCGTCGTCCATTGTTCCATTCCTATGTTCCATTACCAGATTGCACTAAATTACTCAAACGCCTGCACAAACATCCAGGTCTTCACCTTTTTGCGGAATACCATTAGAGAGGGTGCTAGTCTAATGTCCGTAGGAAGGGCGTTCCACAGCCGAGGAGCCACCACCGAGAAGGCCCTATCTCTCGTCCCCACCAGCCGAGCTTGAGAAGCAGGCGGGATCGAGAGCAGGGTCTCCCCGGAAGATCTCAAAGTCCTGGTGGGTTCACAGGCAGAGATGCGGTCAGATAGGTAGCTTGGGCCAGAACCGTTTAGGGCTTTAAAGGCCAACGCCAGCACTTTGAATTCAGCCCGGTAGCAAATCGGTAGCCAGTGGAGTTGGCGCAACAGGGGGGTTGTATGCTCCCTGCGCTCCGCTCCTGTTAAAATCATGGCTGCCGAGCGTTGGACTAGTTGGAGCTTCCGAGCTGTCTTCAAAGGCAACCCCACGTAGAGAGCGTTGCAGTAGTCTAAACGGGATGTAACCAGAGCGTGGACTACCGTGGCCAAGTCAGACTTCCCAAGGTACGGGCGCAGCTGGCGCACATGTAATCCTAGAAAAAATGTTTTTGTGTTTTTCAGGGGACGGAATTGAAATCTAGAGCAGTGGTTCGCAACCTTTTCTTCGCACAGACCCCCTTTTAAAACCTTTTGTAACTGCGGACCTGCCAAGACTTAATTCAGGATCTAAGGCACTAGACTATATCAAATAATTACGTCAATATTCGACAGGTCGCAGGTTCGAATCCGGGGAGAGGCGGATGAGCTCCCTCTACCAGCTCCAGCTCCTCATGCGGGGACACGAGAGAAGCCTCCCACAAGGATGATAAAACATCAGATCATCCAGGTGTCCCCTGGGCAACGTCCTTGCAGACGGCCAATTCTCTCACACCAGAAGCGACTTGCAGTTTCTCAAGTCACTCCTGACATGACCAAAAAAAAGTCAATATTTTCATGAAGGTCCTTCATAAGTCTGGGCTTTAGCATAGTGGGTTAAACCACCAACTGTAGAAAATCTTGCCAATCGAAAGGTTGGTAGTCCAAGCGCAGGTTGGGGTGAGCTACCACCATCAGCCCAGCTTCTGCCCATGTAGCGGATTGAAAATAGTAATGTGAGTAGATACCGCTTTTAGCAGGGAGGTAATGCCGGCGATTCTATCAAAGGATGTCTATGGGCAACAAAAAGCTCCTCCCCACAGAAAATAGAACGACATCACCACCTTGTGGCCAGAGTTGAGCACAACCTCCAGATGCCGGAGATGGGAAAAGCCTATACCTCTGTATGTCCTTGTTAATTGTATAAGGATTTGCTGTATATGTGTCCTGTAATCCACTCTTAGTCCCCTTGAAGAGATAGAGTAGAATATAAATAAAGTATATTATTATTATTATTATTATTATTATTTTAAAAATTAGTGAGAAGGGGATATAAGTTAATCTGTTAATGCACACACTCCTACTATAATATAGTATTTCAATTATAATGATTCCATACAAATTTAAAATAATAGAATCGAGACTAGAGTGGGACGGCTTGGAAAAAAGATTTTTTCCCCAAAGCCATTTTTTTGCGAGAAAATATGAAAAGTGTGTAGAATATGTTCTTTTCCAATGATAAATAATATATCTATGGCATGGCATTCAAACCATATAACATGAAGACCTTTACGAAAGATTTCTGAGACTTTTTGTTTCTACACACATTTTTTTTCGCAATTTTTCTGGAAAAAATGAATTTATGGGGTGGAGAAAAGGTTTTTTTTTTAAATAAGACATTGAGGGAGATGGGACAGAGAGTTTCATCTATGCTGATGATAGTGCCATCACTGCCCAAGCAGGGAGTTTTGAAATGGTTGAACAGAAGCTCTCCAAAGCTTTAGGTGCTCTTTCTGCCTATTACAGGGAAAACCAGCTGATTCCTAATCCATGTAAAACACAGATGTGTGCTTATCATCTTAAGAACAGACAAACATCTCGAGCTCTGAGGATTACCTGGAAAAGAATCCCACTGAAGCATTGCAGCACACCCAAATGCCTGGGAGTTTCCCAGGACCGTGACCTGACCTAGAAGAAGCATTGCTTGAATATCAAGCAAAAAGTGGGCGCTAGAAACAATATCACAGTCGAGAAGGCCCTGCCTCTCTTTCCCACCAGATGCATTTGTGCTGTTGATGGGAGCAAGAGTAGGTCCTCCCCGGATGATCTTAGATTACGAGGTGGGACGTAGGGGTGGGTGCATTTGGACAAGTAAGCTGGGCGAGAACCGTATAGAGCTTTATAGGTAAAAAACCAGCACTCTGAATTGGGCTCGGAGATGGACCAGCATCCAGTGGAGCTGGTATAGCAGGGGAGTGGTATGTTCCCTGTATGTCGCCCCGGTTAGTAATCTGGCTGCCACTCGTTGGACTAGCTGAAGTTTCCGAACCATCTTCAAAGGCAGCCCCACATTATCTGCTTTGAACTGGAATATATGAGTCTACACCACTGGTTCTCAAACTGTGGGTCTCCAGATGGTTTGGCCTTCAACACCCAGAAATCCTAACAGCTGGTAAACTGGCTGGGATTTCTGGGAGTTGTAGGCCAAAACACCTGGGAACCCACAGGTTGAGAACCACTAATCTGATGAGGAGATATTGGAAAAATAGATATTTATTTATGTATAAATTGTATGTACTTTACAAGCACTGAAATGTATAGAAAAATCAAGTTCTCTCTGTATAGAAAGAATGCTAACAGGACAAGCAAGCTGCTGTCCAGGCACAGCAAGAGGGGGGCATGTTATCTATACATTCCAAGAGAGAGATAAGCCACAGACTGGTACAACTAGGCTCTAAGTAAGGAGCCCCCCTCCCCAGGCATGTAACCAAAATTCTCATGGTGGTTCGCGAAAAGGCCTTACTGGTACATTATTTAAACTTTTATGTTTATTCATATCATGATCTGATCACCATACTCAATATATCCCATATGAATGGGGGTATTGGGGTAATGATACAAAAGGTTTGCTCTTTCACTCAGACTCAGCCCCCCCTGAAACTCAGCCCGAAACTCAGCCCCCCCGAAACCGCCCCTGAAAAAAATTCACACACACCCCCCGAAACAAAATCCTGGCTACGGGCCTGCCCCTCTCCCTCATGACAAGTCAAAGTTAGCCCCTTGATTGATGAATGTAAGCTATGCAGCTCCTAGAAATACACAGAGACATGCCTTTTGCATGTTGGAAAATAGAACTTGACATTTTTGTGATGCTAAGGTGACGTAGTGAATGAGGTCAATGTATGTAGACGCATGTTCTTTGTTTGCTTGCATTTGAAGGCTATAAAAGGCATAGTCAGCGCCTATATCGGGGCTCTGGATGCTTTTGGACATAGTCCACTCCAGAGTCCCAGCTGGAAATAAAATCCGTGCTTTTGAGACCTCCGGACCTCTCTTTGTCTCTTTTCCTCAAACCTTCTCCCTGCCATTTCAGTCTACACTCTCACATAATCCAGTTCAAAACAGATAATCTGGATTTCATATGGCATTTTAGAAGGGACCTCAGTCTCCTGCTGAAAAATGTACCTGGAACTCTGAAACCAGATTCACATCTCAATTTACAAATGTATGCACCCTACTGCTTCTGTCCATTCAAGAAACAGAATGGCCAAAGAGCAAAGAGCCCTGTCCTTGACCCACCTTGTGAACAAATTGCTCTACTCGAGTTTGAAGTCCCCACACTTCAAATTTCACAGACACCAATTTGTAGGAGCACATGATGGGCTCTTGAGTGTCTCTCCAGCCTTCTTTTAATAGGCCTCTCCCGGTCTTCTCTGATTTGAAATGTTTAGGATCCTATTTAAAAAAGAGAGAGAAGGAATGGTAAGAAAAAAGATAGTTGAATACAAAAGTGTACAAGATAGATCAATGACAAACTGTAACTACAAAAGACATTTTAAATGAATTTTTGAAAAAAAAATGATGCCGATCCATTTCCCGAATGGGAAGTGCTTGTAGAATAGCTGGAATTGTAATACCCATAGCAACTGGAATGGATTCACTGCACATCATCCTGTGTTTAATTACCATATGTGCTTAACAACAACAACTGGCTGCTTAATCAAATGGCTGTTGTTAACCTCATTAACCTGCATACCTTGTACACCTATGGTGCAAATATGAATCTTTGGATCATAATAAAACATGGTTGTTGTTGTTGTATTTACCCGATTCTAATACTCACCTTTTTTGACTGAATTACTTTCCCAAAATGAGGGTGTACATTAGATTATCGTAATATGGTAAATTCCCCTTTGGGTTTCAGGGTTTTGAAAATTGAGGTACACATTAGATTCGATAGCACATTAGACTTGAGGAATATGGTAGTTTTATCAGTTTATTCTCTCTGGAACACCTCAGCAAGCAAGAGTCCAAAAGTGGCAGGCTCAAACCCAGAACCTCAACCAATGGTTGATACCAAATGAAAGACTCCCCGCTGGGCACACAGAAAACTGGGCGACTTGGAAGGCGCTGAACAGACTGCGCTCTGGCACCACGAGATGCAGAGCACAACCTTAAGAAAGGGGGCCACAAAGTGGAATCCACGTCATGCGAGTGTGAAGAAGAGCAAACCACTGACCACCTGCTGCAATGCAACCTGAGCCCTGCTACATGCACAATGGAGGACTTTCTTGCAGCAACACCAGAGGCACTCCAAATGGCCAAATACTGGTCAAAGGACATTTAATCAACTACCAAGCTTGCAAATTTTGTGTTTTTTTTAATCTGTTTGTTTGTTTTGTTCTGTTAGAAATGTAATACAATGGTCCGGTTGCCCCTGACACAATAAATAAATCAGTTTATTAATTTGTTTGCAGGTGTACACCTTTTACCGCTGAGCCAATTGGGTCTTTGGGCTGTAAATAATAATAATAATAATAATAATAATAATAATAATAATAATAATAATCACAACTTTATTTATACCCCGCCACCATCTCCCCAAGGGGACTCGAGGTGGCTTACATGAGGTCACGCCCATCAATACAATATACACAATATAACACAAAAACACAACAATAAAAAAATAACCTAAAATACAAGACCAATGTATATAAGCGACGCAACAATAAAAAGTCAAAAACATTACAACATTTCATTTGTAAGAAGGTTCCGATTGAATAATTTGATCCACTAAAAGTGTTTCCAATTTTTATACTTAGTGGGTTGTTGTAGGTTTTTTCGGGCTATATGGCCATGTTCTAGAGGCATTCTCTCCTGACGTTTCGCCTGCATCTATGGCAAGCATCCTCAGAGGAGTGAGGTGTACCTCCTCACTACCTCTGAGGATGCTTGCCATAGATGCAGGCGAAACGTCAGGAGAAAATGCCTCTAGAACATGGCCATATAGCCCGAAAAAACCTACAACAACCCAGTGACTCCGGCCATGAAAGCCTTCGACAATACATTTTTTTACTTATTCAACAACTTCTTGAGTGGGTGTACTATAATTGGGCTACCGATGCAATTCAGAAAACATATATCTATATATTACAACATTATCATTTACTGCTGAGCACCAATTCTAACTTTATCTAGATTCTAGCTATAGCACTAAAGAAGTTTGCAGGAAAATATTGAGCAGACCCCTAACAGGACAAGAAAAATAAACATATGCATTGAGGGCAATGACACGCCTTACTGGTACTTTTATGATATTAGTTTCTAAGGATGTATTTTAACTGGAAATTTAGTTTCCGATCTCTTTATTATTTAGTTCTTTAAATTACTGAGATCTTGAATTCTTTCTCAGTATATGCACTGGCAGCCTTGAATATTGAAGCCGATATTGACCCACTGATTTTTGTGTTGGCGAAGGCTTTCAGGGTCAGAATGACTGGGTTACTGTGAGTTTTCCAGGCTGTATGGCCATGTTCCAGAAGCATTTTCTCCTGATGTTTCACCTGCATCTATGGCAGACATCCTCAGAGGTTGTGAGGTTTGTGGGAAATTAGGCAAGTGGGAGGCCCTGCTCTCGCTCCCACCTTCCTCACAGATGCGTTTAACGGGGACGAGAGTCAGGGCCTTCTCAGTGGTGGCCCCTCAACTGTGGAATGCCTTGCCTAGAGAGATAAGATCAGCCCCCTCCCTCCTGTCCTTTTGAAGAATGCTGAAAACCTGGCTTTTCGAACCGGGCTTCCCAAATATGACATAGATAGATGATATTATGGACAATTGATGATGCAACCAGACAATGATTTGAGATGGAGACGCTTTGACAATGTTTTTTAAATGCTGTGTATGATTTTTATGTTTTATATTGCTGTTAGTATTTTAAAGTATCTCTGATTGTTTTAATTTGTTGTATTTGCACTGACATCGAATTGTTGCCTATTGTTAACCGCTCCAAGTCACCCTTGGACTGAGAGGGGCAGTATACAAATGTAGTATGTATGTATGTATATGTATATGTATGTGTATATGTATGTGTATATGTATGTGTGTGTATGTGTGTGTGTGTGTGTGTGTGTGTATGGAACGTCCAGGGTGAGAGAAAGAATTCTTGTCTGTTGGAGGCAAATGTGAATGTTGCAATTGGCCACTTTGATTAGCATTGAATGGCCTTGCAGCATCAAAGTTTGGCTGCTTCCTGCCTGGGGGAATGCCTTGTTGGGAGGTTTTAACTGATTTTTCCTAACGGGAGTACTGTATAATCAAATCATATTCCAAAAGTGGTACAATGAGTGGAAATTAAATTACTCTACCATAGTTACTTTTCAAAGTTACCTTTAAAAGCCATTTTTAGACAGTTGGGAATTTCTGAAGTCACAAGATTTCTCTTCCAATAACAATATATATTTTTAAAAGAAGCCACACAAGTTACTCTTTAAACTTTGTAAAGGTTTTTTTGAACAATAGGAGTAATCAACCATTTAATTAATAGGTTCCGCTTTTTCACAAAGCCTTGGAGAATAATTGCCACAATTATTACAATGAATTACACAAAATTTCTGATTTTGTGTTTCAACTAGTTTTGCAGAGATGCTACCAGATATTTGCAGTTTTCTATTTTCCAATGAATGCACATTTCAATCATAATCATGTTAAATCAAAAGACCTTTTATGTAGTTGGAAAGTATCTTTACGCAAATCCGACTGGAAACGGTCATTGTTCCTCCCTCCTTCAAAAACAATAATTATGTTTGCTTTAATTTCGTCCCCTTTGGATCCAACAGCAAATCAAATCTGGGGCAGCAGCATTTCTGCCTTGTTAGCACCCAACACTGAATGCTATTTTTAAAACATTTTGCACTTGGCATTACAATGTACTGAAAAATATGGAGCAATTTGTGTGATTTGCGAGCAAAATTACTCCGTCAAAATGAGTTTGCCTTGTAAATTATATTTGACAGAAGCACAGAGAAGAGAGGAGGGGAGAGATGTTCCAAACCAAGTGGTTAAAATAGGATCTTAATAGCAGAATGATTATGCGCTGAACCAGACAGATGCTGGCTGCGACTCTGTGACTGCTAAGCATGAGCGAGCCCCCATTTCTCTCATCAAGAATTTGTGATGATCTGGAAAGAGCACAAAACCCATTTTTAATTTCAAAAAAATCTCTATCTTATTAAAAAGTGAATTTACATTTGGCCTGAAGATTGAAGAATATAAAACAGCACAGCTGGTATCTAGAACATACTTCCAAAGGGAGTTTAGATGTGTTTATTTTCAACAGTTATGCACACATACACACACTCCATCGCAGTCTGTAAAGGGTGTTTCTGTCCTGTTTTATCATAAGGCCAGCTGTGGTGGATGGTTGGCGGAGTGGTTAGCAGCGTCTCTTTGGAACCCAATCTCTGACTTTGCTTCCAGTTTTATATTTAATTTCTAATAGGTTTTGATAAAACTCTATCTCCTACTAGTTTGATCTCAATATTAGCTACTGTTTCCTTGGAGAAAGTTTTACATTTTGGGTTATTAGACTGGTTAAATGTAATCTATATAAATAAAAATGTAATGTTCGTTTGTGGGATTAACAGAACTCAAAAACCACTAGACGAATTGACACCAAATTTGGACACAATACACCTAACAACCCAATGTATGCCCTTCACTCAAAAAAATGATGTCATTTGGGAGTTGTAGTTGCCGGGATTTATAGTTCACCTACAATCAAAGAGCATTCTGAACTTCACTAACGATGGAACTGTACCAAACTTGGTACACAGGACTTCCAAGACCAACAGAAAACAGTAGAAAGGTTTGGTGGGCATTGACCTTGAGTTTTGGAGTTATAGTTTACTTACACCCAGAGAGCACTGTGGACTCAAACAATGATGGATTTGGACCAAACTTGCCACAAATACTCCATATGCCCAAATACGAACACAGATGGAGTTTTTTTTTTTGGGGGGGGGGATAGACCTTGACATTTGGGAGTTGTAGTTGCTGGGATTTATAGTTCACCTAAAATCAAAGAGCATTCTAAACCCCACCAATGTTAGAATTGGGCCAAACTTTCCACACAGAACCCCCATGACCAGCAAAAAATACTGTGTTTTCCGATGGTCTTTGGTGACCCCTCTAACACCCCTTTATGACCTCCATAGGGGTCCCGACCGCCGGATTGAGAAATGGTGCCTTAAGGCCATCCAGTCCAACTCCCTTCACCAAGGCAAGAAAACATAACCAAAGCCCTCCTGAAAAAGAGCCATCCAGTCATAGGTATAGATAGATCAATAGATCGATAGATCGATGGATTGATAGATCGATGGATCGATAGATCGATAGAAAGATACGATTCACACACACACATACGTATATGACAGATATAGTAACATAGATTTGAAAGG